GTGCTTGGAGAGAAGCCCATCCCAGGGCAGGCCCAGTTGAGCCCTACCCTCCCACTCTTCCTCTTAATGATAATGACAGAAGCAACCTACATGTGGACACCATTTCACAGTTCACAAAGTGATTGGCCATCTGTTGCTTGTCTGGATTCTCACAAGTCCAAGAGGGAGTACTCATCTCCTATTTACATTTGAGGAAACCAAGCCCCAGGGATTTGCCTAGTGCCAGCCATGCAAGTTGGGCCTCCACCCACTCAGGCATTTTTATAACAAATGTCAGTGCATGCCTATGTGTGTGGCCTGTGTCCAGGGCTGGGCATATGAGAACAGTAAGACCCAGTTTCTGCCCCTGAGAGCTCCCAGACCAGGGAGGAGGTGAGGGGTCAGGGTCGGCAGACAGATGTGTGAAGAGGCAGGAATAACAAAACACAAGTCCTCAGGGCTGGGCTTGATATGAATGAGGAGCCCCTCTGGGGTGGCCCAGTGGAGGGAATGACCACTCAGCCCCCAGGCATTCTTCCTCTCCAGCAGGCAGCTCTTCCAATCTTTTCAGGCTGGCTACAGTCTCCACTTGCTGCCTTGGCGCTAGCCCCTGGAGGTGTCCCGGGGCCCCCTGCACTTGGCCTACAGCCCACCCTTGCTGGGTTAAGGCAGCTTCTCCCTGGCAGGGAAGTGCAGATCCTTTCCCTGCTAGGGTCCCCCAGGGCCCTGCAGAACCTTCTCCTACCCCACCCCCACTCTTTAGTCAAATACAATCATTCGTGCAATTCCAATTGAAAGCAGTTTAAAAGAGAGCTGGTGCTCTGCTTTAAGTGGGAGCTGGCAAGTCCAGAGTCCTCTGCTTAGCTCCCACTGTAGTTGCTGCCCCTGTAGCATGTCTCTGAAAGCCCAGGGTCAGCAGAACACACCTTAGAAACCAGCAACTAGCTTTACTAGTGTCGGGGCAGGGGAAAATCCCCTTTCTTCCCTTCTTGTGTTCTTATGGCTGGGCTAATAACAAAATTGACACAAGACTAGATTAACAGGAGAAAAACCCAGTTTAATACGTACGTATTGGAGATCATAGAGAAATGACTCAGAGAGTGAACAAAGCAGGCAGTATATATATCTTTTAAACAGAGATACAATACAGTAAATTTGTGAAGAATTGACAAGACAAAGAAACTTAGGTTTGGGGTACGTAATTAGTGAGGAATTTAAGCAGAGTTTAAGCTTGAGGTAGTAAATTAGCAAGGTTTGTTTATTCAGGCTTCTCAGCCCTGAATCCCCTAGCTCTAGTGATAAGGCTGCAAGGAGAGCACCTTTCACATGGGAGATTTATTTCCTGCTTTCAGGGGGACAGAGACAGGAGGGTCAGAATGCCTTTTTTCCTTCTCCAGTAACTTTCATTCAAAATAATCAATACACTATTGTGGAATATTTTGGGGTGGCCTGCCATGGGCCCCAACACCAGCATTCACAGAGCCTGCCTGTCCTGCAGGCTTCTCTCACAAATGGCGGCACAAACTAAGCTTATAATTTGCTCCACCCACCCTGCAAAAAGTGCTTCTCCTTCTGTGTTCCCCATTCCTGCCATCCACCCAGGGAAGGAATCAGAGTCTTGGCTGTCACCTGTGGGTCCTCTACCCCCTCATCTCCACACCAGATACTCAGGCCACATTATTTCCTATCTGCCAGAGCCTTCTCTATCCCTCACATCTCACATGTGTTCAATGTTTATGGAACTTTGTTCCCCAATAGAGGATAGTCTCAGAAAGTTTTCCTAACAGAAGCCTGGATAAAGAGTGGGCTACCCCTACCACAAACAATAAAGTCAGTCTAATAAGGAGAGAGATCTGGGCCAGCAGGCCTTTCTGTGCTGTGAAAGTCCCCATGAGCCCATCCACTTACTCTGCGTGGAGGTGGAGCTGGTCTTGCAAGTGTGTGTTAGAGAGGAGAAAAGGGTGAGCCCGTGTGTCAATCATGAGGACAGCTTGGCTCCTGGGCTCTGACAGTCACCCCATGCCCAACAGTCATCTTCACATGGCATTTGGCACAAGCCACCATCCCTGATCAGAAGGTGATCTCACCTCCTCAGTGCCCATTGGACTAAGCCCAAACTCCTCGTCCAGGTGTCCAGACTCTTTTGGAGGTTGACTCTGCTGCCCTTTTCAGCCTCACTTCCTACCAGCGCCTTCACAGAACCACCATTCCAGCCAAGCAAGTGAGCTGCACCTAACACCCTCCATGTATTTCCTGCAGAACTGGATGGGACAAGGCTGAATGCAGTGAAGGAACCCAGGCCAAGGTGGGGCCCATGGTGGACGTTCACCGATGGGACTCCCCTATAAAGGCATCTGAACCCCTGAGAGGAGAGTGCCCACACTGGGGCCTCTGCTTCAGAGGAGACATCCAGAATTCCACCACTTGCTACCATCCTGACTACCACCAATCTGGCCTGAGCCACCATCATCTCTCACATGCATTATTGCCATAGCCCCTCAAAATTCTCCTCCTTCTTCCCTAGCCCTTTAAGATCATAAGCCAATCCTGTCTGTTCTCCACTCAAAACCCCACAATTGTTCCCCACTTCAGTCAGAGTAAAAGGCCAAGGCCTTACACCATCCGACCCCACCAAACTCTCTGACCTCACCTTCTCAGTAGTTTCTCACTCACTTGGCTCAAGTCTTCTGCTCCTCAAAGCCTGCCAGGCACACCCCACCACAGGGTTTGTGCACTGGCTGTTCCCTCTGCCTGGAACATTCTCAGTCCAGATAGCCACATTGCTTGCTTCCTTATCTCCTTCAAGCCTCTGTTCAAATACCACCTCATCAGCGTGGCCTTCTCTGTCCACTCCTTTTAAAATTATAAAGCCTGCTCCCCCTACCCAACCCCTCCCCACCTCTAGCACTCTGGATTCTTCATATTCTGTTCAAACTATTTTTCTTTTTCCTTTTTCCATACCACTTATCACTTTATAACACACTGCTGGAGGACGTAATCAAGAGGATGTGACCGCTGGTTGACCCTTGAGCTGGACCCGGGGAATTGGAGGCTCCTCACTCCCTCTCCTATCCTTGGAATGTATGCTCTGTCTACCGTTTCCACAGTGGGAGCTGTTTCAAGGACGTAGCCTTGAGAGAGTAAGGTATTGTTGAGACCATCTGGACTGAGTATGTGACTGAACCCAGTTAAGGCCTCTACATAAACTCTGAAGATTCTGGTGGGTGGGTGAGGAGATCTACTCATCTTGCCGCTGCCCAAGATAAGCCTTGTAAGAAAGTTCCATTGCTTATTTAAACCTGCCACCTACCAATCTGGAGTGGCCTGCCTCTTTCTTCAGTCTCTCCTTGCCCTGTGTGTACAGGGGCCAGTTTGTGAACAAACATGCACTATATAATTATTTAATTAATTAATTTCGATCATCTGTCTTCCCCTATCAGAATGTAAAATTCACAACAACATGATTTTTTTTATTTGTTTTGCTCACTGATATAACCCAGCTGCTTAGAACAGTCCCTGGCATATACTATGCCCTCAATAATTATATGTTGTGTTAAGAAACCCTTCCAGTCTTTCAGACTTTCACCTACTCGGCCTACAGCACACACCTGGCTGGACTTAGATGCTTTCATACTCACACGTCCCCATAGCACAAGGACACATACTTGGAGATGCCACCTCCTGACATGGATATATAAATATGTATTGACAACTAGATACATATTTATCTCTGTACATATATATGCACACACAAAGGCCCACATGTGGACATGTACACGCATGGAGAAATCACATTAAATTTTTTTTTTTTTTTGGTGAGGAAGATCAGCCCTGAGCTAACATCCACGCCAATCCTCCTCTTTTTGCTGAGGAAGACTGGTCCTGGGCTAACATCTGTGCCTATCCTCCTCCACTTTATATGGGATGCCACCACAGCATGGCCTGACAAGCAGTGCATCAGTGCACGCCTGGGAGCTGAACCCGGGCCGCCAGCAGCAGAGCGCGCGCACTCAACTGCTACGCCACGGGGCCGGCCCCTAAAATTTTTTTTTATTATGACCTTGAGGGACCTTTTTTTGCAAAATTCTATTATAAAAAATTTCAAACCTGCAGAATAGTTGAAAGAACTGTACAGTGAACATCCACTACCTAGATTGTACAATGTTTTGCTATATTTGATTTGTCACAGATTTATGCATCAATATATCCCTCTATCCATCCATCAATACATCCAATATGCATTTCAAAGTAAAGTGCAGCCATCAGTACTCTTCACTCCTAAACACTTCAGCATTAATAAGACTTCAATATTGTTTACTTTTTAGGTAAAATTTTACATACAGAGAGACGCACAAATCTTAAGTGTACATTTGATCAATTTTGACAAATGAGTTTTTGACCTGTGTAACCCAAAGCTCCATCAAAACAGAGAACATTATTGTCATTCCCAAAATTTGCATCATGCCCCTTGCTAGTCAATCCTCTAGCATAGGCAACCATTGCTCTGATTTAGTTTTGCCTGTTCTAGAATTTCATGTACACAGAGTAATTTGATATGTACTCACATTTGTTTATTCAGTCAACAAAAAATTTATTCAGCACCTACTATATGCTCACAGGCACATATCTGATGTCTATTCACGGGGAAGTCATAAGTTCTTCCAGACTCACCAAAAGGCCAAAGGTATTTCTAGGCCTGGCCTGTGACCTCCTCTCTCTTCCCCCGCAATCACATTGTCACTGAGAGACCACAGACAGCTGGGCCTCAGAAACAGAAATGGAGGCCCGCTCTGCCAAGTGCGCCCTGGGCTCCTCCCTGCCCCCCTCTACCCACATCCACACTGGCTCTGGAGGCCTCTCATCAGCCCCACCCCCACTCCCATTCACTTCCCACATCAGACCTTCATCCACACTTTTCCATGCAGGTGTGCAAGGGGGTGTCACAATCTCAGGCCAGGCCGTGCTCAAGTGGGTAAAAGTGCAGGTGGGTAGATAGCTGGAAGGAACTGGATGAGCAGAGGTGGCATGCAGTCCTGTGATCCTGTGGAGGAGTGGGGGTGGGGGGTGGGAAGGGGGTGGAGACTAGGCAGGGGCTGGAGAAGAAAGCATGAAGGGAGGAAACATCGCAGGCCCCTGAGCAATTGGGGCTGGGCAGCTGAACAGCACTTACCTGGAGCCACTGGGACCCTGGGCATAATGCTCCTGCCCTCCAAGAAGGACCTCAAGACGGCCCTGGAGGTCTTTGCTATTTTCCAGTGGGCCCTCAGTGTCTTGGTTATTGGTGAGTCTTCAGCCTTTGGTAGATTGACCAACTGTCCTGGTTTGCCTGAGACTGAGGGGTTTTAGGGTTTAGCAGGACTTTTGATGCTAAAACCTGGCTTGTCCCAGGCAAATCAGGAGAGTTGGTAACCCTGGCCTCTAGCCTGACATGCCTGGGCATGGTACTCATGGGATCTGTGAGTGTATATGTGGGTATGTGTGTGTGCATATGGGTGTGTGCCTATGCAGGGGTGTGTGTACACATGTGTGCCAGCGAGGCCTGCTGTAGATGTGTATAGTGAACGCTTCTGGGTCTACACTGGGGCATGGATGGCATGTTTGGGGAAGATGAGGAGCAGTTCCACTGAGGTTAGCCAAGCAAAAGGGCTTAGCTGCAACCTCAGGGATGTGAGCTGACCATCGGTGGGAGACAGTTGTCCTGGTGGCAGAGGGAGACTCTGAAAACCTCTTATCCAGAGGAATTTATCCATTTATCCATCCCTTTTTACCGCTATCTACACCACAAGCACCTTGTGAAAATTACTTACATGTTGGCCACTGTGTTCTAGGTGCTGAAGCAAACTATCCCTATGGGAAGGGGGCCTGGAAAAATTTCTCGTTTGTCAGATGGTTTAGGTGAGTACTGGCTGGAGGCAGGGGCATGAATTAAATGACCTTGTAAGAGATCTGAGACGGAAGAATGCAGGTAGGCCCTGGGAGCCTGGGGCTTGCCAGCGACTAGGGAGAGTGGGCTAGAGGACAGGGAATGGGGGGCTCAGAGGCCTGCCTGGGGTGGGCACCAGGGCATTCCAGTGCTGAAAAGAGCAGTGTTAACCTAGGAATGACAGGCAATCAGAGCTGGAAGAGACCAGGAGAAAGGAATTTATATGCATAATGTACTTACTTTGTACCGGGTCTTTTCACACCTATTATTTCATTTTAGCCTTATGCCAACCTTATGAGGTAGAAGCCATTATTATGCATAATAATGCATGCTAACAGCTACACATATAATGATAGCAAAAACTCCTATAATATTAGCTAAACTTTACTGCACCTTTTTTTATGCCAGGCCCTTATGTGGCTAATAATCTCTTCTAAGCACCTTATGTGGCTAATAATCTCCCTTGTACAGATGAGGAAACTGAGGTACATGTAGTATAAGTGGTTTGTCCAAGATCACACAGCTAGGAAGTGGAGGAGCTAGCCTGGGAATTGAGCTGACAGGAGCCTGATTCTAGCCTATGAGTTCCTTTCCCTCCCTCTTGCACCTCCTCACTCACTGCTGATGGGGAGTTTGGGAATGGATGTGTCCCCGCAGTACATGCTAGGCCAGAGAGGAAGGAGGAATCCAGGCCTTCTGCCTACATAAAAATTCCTGACTGAAAGGTAAGAAAAGCCAGCTCAGAATGGCCTCTTATTGAGGACAAGGGCCCCAGCTGGGCCTTTCCACTCTCCCTCCATGTGGCACAGGCCTTGTAGCACTCTCCAGAGTAAGGGCTGAGTGCCCTGTCTGGCTGGAGTGGCAGCTAGCCTTACTCTTATCCCTCCAGCTGTTGGGTCTCAGAAAAATCTGAGGTGAGTCTGCCGGAACTGGTCTTTTCAGAGCTGGACTGTGCCATCACCTGCTTTTTCAAATGGGTGGTGGCTTTGGCATTTGGTGCTACTATCCTTCATGTAAAGCAGTTTCCCCGCCTGGGCTGAGGCTTCTTCTGCTTGGTTAACAAGGCTGGCTTGCTTTCGTCTTCGGCCTTGGCTCCAGGGTTCTCAGAAACCAGAGTCAGCGGCCTTATGGCACCTGCAACCAATTCATGCCTGTAGATCCTGCTCTGATCTGGAAGCCTCAGGCCATTGGGTTCTGTTCTATTGTCTTTCTTGAGTTCTTGTCCTATCCCCACAGACTTGGCTCATTACCACCCTCCTCTCTCCCCTCGCTGCCACTGTGTTCCCGTGAGAAAGCAGAGTCCCCAAGGCCTAAGAGCTGATACTGCATTGGGAGAGAAGCATGACCTGGGCCAGGCCCACGTAGGGGGCTGGTCTCGCCTTCCTTAATTCAGTCCCTAATCTCGCTCCTCAGCAGTAACCACTGTTAACAGCGTTTTGTGTATGTAGCAAGAAATTATGGATATACATACACACACACATATATAGTCACATGCATGTGTGCACATGTGCATGCACACACAAACACGCACATGCACATACACACATATACATATAGCCAAGAGGCAGTAAAATATGGGTGTTAAAAAGACAGACTCTGGAGCCAGGCTGCATGTGTTCAAGATACTTACTATCTGTGTACCGTTGGCAAGTTACTTATCCTCTCTGAGTCTTGTTTTCTTCATTTGTAAAATGGGCATATTAGAGTGTATTAATTGGGATGGCCTAGGTATGCTGTGGTAGCAAATTAACCCTGAAATCTCAGTGGTTTAACCTAGCAAATGTTGATTTCTTGTTCATGTTAAAAGTCCCACACAGGTTGGTGGGAGTCTCTGGTCTCTGCAGACACTAATGTTCAGGCTGATGGAGGCTCCACCAATAGTGATGCTGCAAAATGTGACTTCAAAGATTACCACAGCATGGGAAGGAAAGGGAATGGAGAGCTCATATGCACTCCTTACTACCTCCAACCAGAAGTGATAGGTAAACAACAGTGAGTTGTAGCCTTATTTTGAACTTCCTTAACTATGAGTGAGGTTGAGCATCTTTTCATATTTATCGGCAATTAGTATTTTTTTCTGTTAACTGCCCACTCATGACCTTTGCCCATTTTTCTATTGAATTTGAGTTGACTCTTGAAGGACAAATTGGAAATAGGTGAAGAGGAAAGAGTGTTCAGGGCATAGAGTGGGCAACACATGACAAGGCTAGGATGAGGGGAGAGCATAAAGCATTCAAGGAGCTGCCAGTGGTTAAGTGGGATGAAGGGTGAGAGGCACAGAACCGGTGCTCAATACATATTGAATGAGTGAATGAATAAATGGGAGAGGGAAGAAAGAGGAGACTTTGCAGATTGTGCAGGGCATTGTAAACCATGGAAATGAGTTTGGACTTTTTCCTGAAGGCCGTGTGGAGCCATGATAGGGTTTGGCACAGGGCAAAGGCATCAGATTTGTTCTTGAGAAATCACTATAGCTCTGTGTAGCAAATTGATTCTAGGAAGAGGCTGTTGCAATAATCCAGGTAAGAAATGGTGGTGATTCGGACCAGACCAGTAGTAATCGGGATGGAGAGAAGAGGAAAGAAGAGGAGAGACTCAAGAAATTGGAGTGGAATTAATAGAACTTGATGATCAGAGGATGTGGGAGAGGGAAAGGGAGGAGGCAAGATTGAGGGTTCAGGTCCCATTGTGAGCTGGCAGAGGGGTAAGTGGAACAGAGAAGGGTGAAGGAGGAGAGTGGCTGAAAGGCAGATGAGTACAGGGAAAAAACTATCCCAGAGGGCTCTTAATTAGAATTGGATTTTGGGATGTACAGAGAGGTAGTATGGAGTGGGCGGAAGAGCTCTAGGCCTGGGCCCCAGGAGATGCGGGTTCCAGTGCTTGCCCCTCCCTCACTAGCTCACATGGGGTGCGTGTGGCAAATGACCCCTTGGAGCCTTCCCAGCTCTTCACACTAGAAATCTGTGAGTGGAATCATATCTATTTGGACCCTAAAGACCTTGAGAGAGGACCCTCACAATAAGTCTGTGAGGAAGGTAAGGCAGATATTGAGGTGATAATTCCCATTTGGCAGATGAAGTTCAGCGACTTGTCTGTGATCATGCTCATGGTAAGTGGTAGATCCAAGATTCATCTTGCCACAGGGCGCTATGCCTGAGGCCACATTGGATCACAAGCCACCCCCAACACTGTCTTGGTTTAAGCAAAGCCTAAGGGAAACAGGGAGGTCTCTTCTGGACTAGACCCATGCCTCTCTTTATTTCTCAAAAAAGTCCAAGAGTTTTATAAGGAGTATAGCAAAAGCCTAAAACTGCTGGCCTTTTCTTCACCCTTAGATCTGTTCCCCAGAAGCAGCCATTTTCAACTTTATTAGCTCTTTCTTCTGGTATTTACCTCCATATGTCTAAATTTTACTATTTAAAATTTCTAAATATTACTATTTTCTGATTTAACAATTTTTGACATTGTCACTGACTTCCTAATATGAAGATGAGAATTTGGCTCTATACACTATCACTAGATCTTCCTCTTCCCCTATCCTCCCCAGATTGTTATAGCACAGGTTTTGGTTAAATGCCTGACACTGACTAGGAAATATTATCCACAATGGAGCTATTTAGTGTACTAAGATTATATTTCCTGTCTTGTGCAACTTCTTGTTTGCCCTGGAATTCATAATTGCCTCATTTTAAATTTCTTTAGTTATCACTAATTCATCTCCAAACTCTCCACAGACACGTTAATCTCTCAATAAGTGCAAACACATCAGGAATCTATACGTCCCCGCCCCTCCCCCACTGTTTTTTATTTCCTTGAGGACATTGCTAATGGAGCCCAGCATCCTCTTGTTACAATCTTGTTTCATGCACAGCTGTCACCTCCAGGGCCCTTGAGTCTTGTTACAATGTGGTTTCATGCACAGCTGTCACTTCCAGGGCCCTTGAGGCAACTTGAGTGCACAATTTAAGAAGGTGTTCACTCTCAGTGTTATGCAAGTGTTGGGTCACTACTTGCCTGAACCTGAGAGTGAGTGTCTCCTTAAATTTTGTGCCCTAGGTGCCTTGCTTGCCTCACCCTAGTCCTGACCCTGGTCAGTTCCTTCCTTCACTGGATCCCTTTTTTTCCTGGATCCCATTGTTTTACTCCCTCATTTTGGTGGAGCACATCCTCCAGTAGTTTTCCAAGAAAGGGACATGGGAGACAAACTATCTCAGATGGTATGTCTGAAACTGTCTTTATTCTACCTTCATACTTGATTAATAATTTGGCTGCACATAGGATATCTTAGCTGTGTCTAGTGTAATATCTGAGTCTAGAGTTTCTTTTTGGTTCAATTTTTCACGGAATAATCCTCCCATCGTCCAGTTGTGTAGGTGAGGGGAAGGGGCTTGGGGTTCTAACTACTTCTTTGATAGACTTTTAATCAAGCCCTGTGCCTCACACCTGCTTTTTGTGACACCTGGTGGCTCCAAATTCTGAGTCTTTCCTAGATTCTCCAGCACAAACAGGATTACTTTTATAGGCATTCCCCTTGAAGGTCATTAGATTTCAACTTTCTTTGTTCAAAATCAGTTACTCCCTCCTCCATCTATTTTCCAGCATGCAAACAATTTGCTGATATCTCATCCACCATTGGAATCTCTCCAATTCTCTCTCCTTGCAGATGTATATCTTTTAAAACATTCTTATGGTAATTTTCACGAGGTTCCAGCAAGGAGTCAAGATAGAAACTTGTGTTCAATCTGCTATGTTCAATTAGAAGTGTTTTTCTGTCTTTTCTAACCTTTACTTTGACCCGCTTTCTCTCACACAGTCTTATTCACAGCTGTTTTAAAAATTGAGTCCAGTAATAACTCTAAGTGAGTGTGGCTCCCTATGACTCATCTCCATTGTCCTAACTACTCTAACTCCATGTCCTAACTACTCTAACCTACAGTGTTCCTATCTTATTGGAGCTTAATACGGCCCACTATGTTACTCTATCCCAGCTTGCATTTTCCTTTGTTCTTGTTTGCCATCTTGTGTGCTCCCAACCTGGCTAAGGTAGGTCTTCTCTTTCTCTGATATTCCCTCCACTAATGCTTCGCAGAGATGTGGAGAGGAAAATGTGACTTGGAGAAAACTGTTCCTGGCTCTGTCTTTCCAGGACTCTCAACCTCTGGTGGCCAGATCAGTGTGACCCACCACTGGCTCCTTGCCATTGAATGCAGCCCAGAGCAGTGCTGAAGCAGGTCCTAGGGAGTGGAGCACAGCTGGGGAAGAAAACACCTCGCCTTCTAGACCTGAAACAGGTTTCCAAGTCTAGAGAGGAGAGGGCGTGCTGAGGACATGGGCACACAGGCCTTGTGTTAGGGTGAGGATGTGAGAGCATTGAGTGAGAGTGCATGTGACTTGGGGTGGACAGAACTCCGGAGGGAGGGCAAGTGTGAGGGACTATTCACAATTCATTAACTTTGGGCTGGGCTCCCTCCAGCAACCACTGTGATCCTCGTCAACCTCTACCTGGTGGTGTTCACGCCATACTGGCCTATCACTGTGCTCATTCTCACCTGGCTGGCTTTTGACTGGAAGACCCCTGAGCGAGGTAAGGGCCTTGCTGGGGCTTTGCTGCCACTTGCTACATGCTCTCTCCTCTTCTCTTCTTATAACCTGAGAGGCTCTGGCCGATTCCCAGGCAGCCCTTCAGCCTGTCCCTCCCTGAGCTAGAGAAGTTGAAGGAAGCGGTCTTTGCAAGGTGCTAAAAAGGCCCAGATTAGAACTGGAGTGGGTTAGGGGAGGGGCAGTTAGTAAAGCAGAAAGCTAGGCCTGTCCTAAATTGGCCCTGACATGCCATAGCCCATCTTGGTTGTCACTTAAGAGACCAGGAAACAGTAGGGGGTGAGAGGCCCCTGTGGTGGGCCCAAAAGGGCTCTGAAGAAGACAGTTGGGGGTGGGCAAAGCTTGGCTACATTGGCTCTGGTTTCAGGCGGCCGCCGGTTGACCTGTGTGAGGCATTGGTACCTGTGGAAACAGTACGGTGATTACTTCCCCCTCAAGGTGAGGAGCTCCAGATCCCCACTTGGGCCCTGGGCCCAGTCCCAACTCTAGTGCCAGAAGTTGGGTCAGGGTTGGGGTCGGGGACATCATTCACATTGAAGTCCATGTGAATGATGTCCCCTTGAGTTGTGCATTACCCAACCTACATGGCTGGACATAGCAGCCCTTTCCCTTCCGGGTCTCTGGCCAGAAGAGGAGTCCTCTTCCCTGGCTATACCCCTCTTGACTCCACTTTTCTCCACAGCTTTTGAAGACTCATGATATCTCCCCCAGGCACAACTACATCCTTGTCTGCCACCCTCATGGGCTCCTATCTCATTCACACTTTGGCCACTTTGCAACAGAGACCTCAGGCTTCTCCAAGATCTTTCCTGGCATCACCCCTTATGTACTCACACTGGGAGCCTTTTTCTGGGTGCCTTTCCTCAGAGAATATGTCATGTCTGCAGGTGAGTTGGCTCCTAGGACATAAAGCCAAAGAAAAAATGGCTCTCTTAGGGAGAAGTATTGGGGTAACGGGTGAGAGCAAGGCCAACTCTGCGATGCCCTCTGGTCCTAAAAAGCTGCCCTAGGCTCACCTGCCTGATGTGAGGCTCTCCTCTCCTTTGAAGAGGTAGGGAGGAAAGTTAGGAGTTTTGAGACGTGGCCAATGACCTTTCGGCTGTTTCTGCCCACCAGGGTGCTGCTCTGTGAGCCGATCCTCCATGGACTATCTGCTTACCCATAAAGGCACAGGCAACATGCTGATTGTGGTGGTTGGTGGCCTGGGTGAGTGCAGATACAGCCTGCCAGGATCTACCACACTGGTCTTGAAGAATCGGACTGGCTTTGTACGCATGGCCCTTCGGCATGGGTAAGAACGGTTCCAGTCCAGGCTGGGGAGAGGGGTTCCAAAAGTCCAGCAGGGAAGGAGGAAGGGGTTTTGAGGAAATGATATCTAAAAAGGGAGGGGGAAAGCTGCTTCTGTATTGGAGTAAAGCCTGGGCCAGGTCCTGGAGGCATTTCTGCTTATGAAGAAAGGCTAGAGGGCCAGCCCTGAGCCTGTTCTCTCTCACACTAGTCTCTCATCTGGGCCAGTCCCTCCATAAAAGGTGACTGGCTGCAATCCCATCTCAGAGAGAGCCAAAATTACTGTGTGGATTAAAGGGAATAAAGCTAAATGAAATGGCCCTTGGGTCTTATCTTCTAATGTTTCAGACCTGTGGGTTCACAGAAGGGTCTGGGACTTGCTTTCATTAGCTTGCTGCTACTTTGCCCCCATAGGCAGCCTGAGATAGACCATGAGGATCTCACACTTAGCCTGGACCTAGGCCCAGCCGAGCTAAGTTAGGGGCTGAAGAGCCGATAGGCAGACTCAGGGACCACTGGCGGTCAGCATATCTGGCTTTCAGCAGGGTCCCTACATTTCTGGCCATCAAAGGACATGCCTTTCCTCTGCAGGGTGGCTCTAATCCCTGCCTATGCCTTTGGGGAGACAGACCTCTACAATCAGCACATTTTCTCTCCTGGGGGCTTGGTCAATCGCTTCCAGAAGTGGCTTCAGAGTATGGTACACATCTACCCCTGTGCTTTCTATGGGCGTGGCTTCACCGAGAACTCCTGGGGCCTTTTGCCCTATGCTCGGCCTGTAACCACCATTGGTGAGTAGCCCCTTCTGCTGGCAGCTTTGTCTGGGATATAGGATCCAATTCTGAGGCTGAACCTCGGTTCTGGCTGTGTCCAGAGGCAGGGAAGCTGGCCAGGATAAGTGGCGGGATAGGGGTCTGGGTGGGGAGAACCTGGGCTTGAGGGTTGAGGCCTATTCTGAGGAGTGAGCTGTTCTGATGCTTTTTCCTTTTCCTTCTCTGTCTCCTCTGGCAGTCGGGAAGCCTCTACCAGTACCCAAGATTGAGAACCCGAGCCAGGAGATTGTGGCTAAATACCACGCACTCTATATTGATGCCCTGCGCAAACTGTTTGACCAGCATAAGACCAAGTTTGGCATCTCAGAGACCCAGGAGCTAGTGATAACTTGATAGACATTCCAGCAGCCTCTCAGCCTGGCTGGAAGGTGTGGAACCAGTGAAACAGGAGGACAAAAGTCCCCTATGGTGCTCCTGCCCCTGATTTGGCCACTCCTCAATGTGAGGAGGGGCTGTTCATTTTGTTGTTTTCTGGACCCCTCTTCCTCCTTCAGCTCTCTCCTCCTTCCAGCTCTTCTCTGCCTTTTCCTTGGGGCTACAGGGGAGACAGCCTCAAAAGGCAGGGAAGGCCATAGGGGAGAGGTGCCCTGAAGGCCCCCTCACACACGCACACTCAGCATCGGCATTGAGGAAAACAACGGACAGAATAAAGAGCCCACCTTCTGATACTACTTGTGCCCCAACTCGTCTGTTTTGAGGGCCTAGGATCCCTGCACATGTCTTTCCTTCTCTAGCTCTGAAACAGCCCCATCTCCTGGCATCGAGACTCGTGCAGGACCGGGTGCCTTTTTTTTGTTTTAGATTTTATTTATTTATTTATCCCCCCGCCAAAGCCCCGGTAGATAGTTGTATGTCATAGCTGCACATCCTTCTAGTTGCTGTATGTGGGATGAGGCCTCAGCATGGCCGGAGAAGCGGTGCGTCGGTGCGCGCCCGGGATCCGAACCCGGGCCGCCAGCAGCAGAGTGCACGCACTTAACCGCTAAGCCATGGGGCCGGCCCAAGGACCGGGTGCCTTGAGATCCAGTGGGCGTTGAGTTCAGGCTCCATCACCTTCAAGACATGTGATTTGGCACAATCAGTCTCCTTTGAGCTTCGGTTTCCTCATCTGTAAAATGGGACTAATAATCCCTCCCCTGCTTACCTCAGAGGCTGTTGGGAAGATCAAATATTGAATGTGATTGAATTTTGGAAACTGGAGAGCTACACAAATTATTCTCCTCCAACCATTTTGCCCATTTTCTGTCCCTGAGAAAACAATGCCCTAAATTTCATGGCATCTCAATGTCGAAAAGAAAATTTACAGCATAGGATATTGTCAACAGTCTTTTGAAATTTGAAGTAATCGATATCCCCTAACACTCCCTGGTGCACACTCAGTTTCTACCTAATAATGCTGTAATAGAATGGGTCAGGGTCAGGCCTAATTTCCCATCTTTCCCCCAGCAACTTGCCTATCCTTGCCCAGCTCTCTAACTCTGCCCTTTGCTAGAGTCAGCCAGCCTTCTCAAGATGGAAGTGAGGTGCCTGGCTTCTGGCAGCCATAAAGAACTCTCCTTCTGGATGGCCAGTCTCTCAGACCCTTGGCCCAATGGTTGTTGGCAATGGCAGGTTACACCATTTGGCTCACAGCCCCCTTGTTCCAACTCTTTTGGGTGGAAGCCATTTGGTCCCAATGATTTACCTACACAGACTTGGTCAATTTGGTCTAGAACATCCTGTGTATTCACCACAGTGTGATCTGCTGCCTCTACCCTCGGTGCCTGACTCATGTCATGGTTTGTACACAGTGGGGCAAAGAAATTCTTCCACTTTTCTGTTGTCTCTGTTACTTCTTTGTGCCAGAGATGACATTTTCCCTGAGCTCCCATAATGTGTTTTTAAACAATCCCCAGGCTTCCCATGACTAGTTTCCTTGAAAAAAATCTATTTTCTACCTAAGGCAGCCAGAAGACAAGCCTGTCTCCAACACCCAACCCGTGCACACCTGGGCATTGATTTGACACAGGTTACTGTGTGCACATTGCTGCTTAAGTGCCACGTTCTCCACCTATACAATGGGGACAAAGGCCACTGGGGTCGTGAAAAGTGCCCAGAACTCTCTGGGGCTAGGTGTTCCTGAGCTGCTATCTGGTCCTATTCCCATGATCCTCTTCCTTATTTCAGCCTCCACAGGGCTTCTCTGTGCAATGAGTTTAGGGCCAAGTGGTAGAGGTAGCATGGTAGAACAGAAAGTGCGGAGGACTTGGAATCAGACCAAGTTAACACACTTACTAGTTGATATTGAATGTGACTGAACTTTGGAAACTGGAGAGCTACACAAATTATTCTCCCCCAACCATTTTGCCCACTTCCTGTCCCTGAGCAAACAATGCCCTAAGTTTCACGGCATCTCAATGTTGAAAAGAAAGTTTACAGTGTAGGATCTTGTCAACAGTCCTTTGGCAGTTAAAGTAATCTTTCTAGTTGGGTGACCTTGGGTGAGCTACTGAAACTCTTTGGGCATTGGTCTCCTCATCTGCAAAATGAGATGATACATCATGGGGAGCTGGAGGTTGGACCTACCCAAGCTGTTTTGGGCTCAGGCCTGAAATATCTGTTATAGATGCCACAGTCTCAAGCTGAGGGTGACTCCATGCTGCGTCTCTGCCTCAGGACAATGTTCCTTTTCACAGGACCTCTAACCTACCGGACATGTGGTTACAGGAAACGACCCAGGGGGATGGGGATGGGGATGGGGATGGGGATGGGGATGGGGGTGTGTGGTCTGGGGCACAGAGAGGATATGGGATGCTCTGACAGGAAATTCAAAATACCTTCCTTCTGTTGCCACCTCTGAAATGGGTGCCGTGGTCCTTCCCCTAGCTAATGTGTGGAGTCACTTGCAAAGAAGTACCTAGCATGTAGGAAGCACTCAAGCCGATTTCAAGAACAGGGGGGAAAAACTTTATTTGCAAAGAATAAACCATTAATTTACACAAACTTACATCCCAGTTTATATACATTATGTATAGTTTATATACACAGTATCTCACACTGGATGCTGACCCCGAAAGCAGCATTGGGCCTGCTCCAGGCTGTCCTCACAACAAAGCCCACCCCCAACCCCAGCTGGAAGCTTTTTTAATAAAGAAATGACACACCCCAACTCCTGTTAGAGAGAGTCCTGAAATGGATTAAAAGAAAAAATCCAGTTCCTTTTTTGTGCTCACATGGCCTAGGGGAGCCTCCAGGCAGGGACGGGCCTGAGGCATGGCCAGGGTGGCCTCAGGACTTCCTGGTGTTGGGCCAGTCCAGAGCCTCCAATCCAGAGACAGGAGATGGGAGAATGCCTTGTGGGGAGGAAGAGTTCTGATGAAGGCTGCCGCTACTCTCTCCCTGCCTGGCCAGGCTCCTGAAGGGGGCCAAGCACTTCCAGCCTTGAGTCTGTGGGTGGAAGAAAAAAGGGGGCCGTATGGGACAGGGACTGCTCCACCCCCTCACTCTGCTGAGTCTGCGCTTTGGGGCTCATTCACCTTGGGCAGGTCACCTTCCCTCTCTGGGCCTCAGTTTCCACATAGGTAACGTGGGGTAGAATGTAGGTTGGGCTAGATTCCTTCTAAGGGCCTTTCTAGCTCTAAATTTCTTTGATTCTATTTGCATCCACCAGAAGTTATATAAAAACACTCTACTGACACGTGGATCAAAGTCTTTGTTCACCTCCAGGGTTCCTAGCATTTTCCTGCTCAGCAAAAGAAATTTGGCTCAGGATGGATGAAGGGGAAAATAAAGCAAAGACTACATTTTCCAAGGAACCAGTAGCTGAGCAGCCCCTAATAGCTGCCTTTTGTGCCAGCTTTGGCAGTTGAAGCCCAAGTAGCTGGCAAAGGCCCCTGCCATGCGATTCTCCTTCAAACCTCTCTCATCTGCTTGCTCACAAATGTCCTCGTTCCATTCTCCATGCTAGCCTTGGCCCTCTGGTAAACTCACATTGGCATAATTCCAAACTATAAATCTATTTCCACATTCTCTTACTAGTAAATTGCTTTACCACTTTGCCAATAACTTCACAGCAACAGGGCTCCTCAGCTACCTATTGCTTCCCTCATCACCCCCTCCCTCTAGGGTTCCTTTCAAGAGTTCATAATGAATAAAGGGTCCTGTGTGAATCCTATTTCCCCTATTAATTGCCTCCATATCTGGAGAATAGGATGGTGTCAGATGTCCTTTAGAGGCACAGTTAGGAAGCGTTTCCTTCCCTCTCCTCATACCTTTTTGGCTTTAGAACCAGTCCTCTCAGGTCTTCCTTCCACCCCTGAGAGATCACCACAAGGGTCTCTGTGGTGTGGCAGAAAGAGATGAGTCACTTAGTAGCTGTGGGAAGTGGGCCAGCTCCTGTAACCCATCTGAAGCCCACAGTAGGGGCTTCAGACACAATGGTTGGTTGGTTTATTGGGTGGGTGAAAGAACATGAGGTGTATCAGTTCTGTGGTACTGAAGGCCCGCTGCTTGGAGATGGTACCAAGACAATTCTTCTGAACATAAGAGCTCTAAGGCTAATGGATGTTTCCTAAAGAAATGTCCTACTCTTGCCACAGAGCTCCTGGCAGCCTAGAGAATGGGCATTACCATCAAGGAATGAAAATAAGCATCTCTGGGTTTCTCTTTAGGACTCTCAAGGTTTTCTGGTCCATATTACCATTTTTATTGGTTCTCTCTAGACCCCAAATTCAACACAATGCTGCAGGGTAACAGAATAGCTTTGGAGTCAGACCTGGCTGAAGCTCCAGGTCTGTGACTTAAGCTGGGTGAGATCCTGGTCAAAGCACTTAACTTTTCTAAGCCTCATCTAAACAATGGGATTTGTAATATTATCAAGGAGATAATAAGAGAGAAAGTATGTTCCAAACTTTAAGGAGAGGTTCTCATCAGTTCCTGCTACAATTGAGGACTAAGGCACTTTATAGGGGCCAGGACCAGACACACGCCTCAAGTTTGCCTCACCTGCGGGGTTGCAAGGCTCTCATTAGCAACAGACAATGGTGGTGTAGCCCACCACCTCTTGCCCTGGCCCTTGAAGGGCCAAGCAGTGTAGTTGCTTAGAAAGGGAAGGCACAGCTGAGAAATGAGTACCTGTTGTTTTTGGTGGATTTCAGCTGCCTGAAGGAACTGATTCCCCATCTCTTCAAAAGGAAACTTGTTTCAGGGGCAAGAGTAGCAGACTGTACAAGACTGGCCCTCCTAGCTTTGGGCTAGACTCAGCACCCAGAAGCCAGGCTGGGCCCAGACAGTTAGAAATAAGGCCCTTGAATGGTCCCACCACATGATCCGGTGGGAAACTTGGGGTAGGGGGGAAGGTGTCTTTGGGCCTGACTAGAGAGCAAAGCTCTCCCCAGTGCCTAGACACTGGCTTCTTCTGAGCCTGGATTCAGGAGAGCTGCACTGGAATCTACGGTGGCTCTGCTCTGCTGTGGCTTTCTGAAGCCAAAGTGAAGAAAGGGTGTCAGTAGGGCATCAGCTGCTGCCCTTTCTGGTAAGGCCTGGGCTAGCGACCACTTGGGTTGCAGCAAACTTGAAAAACACTTTCTGTCCTATCCCCACCTCTCGCCCTTTCTGGGTCAGGTAGAAAAGCTCTGTCTTGCCAATGCCCAGGGGCAGTCTAGAGTTTGGGAATTTTAGTAGGCTATCATGGTAGCTGCCTAAATATTAGAATTTGAAAGGACTTCTGGAGATTATCCAGTCTAACCCTTTGCTCCAGAACTCGACCAGATGAATATTTGTGTTGCTTAATAAATGGAAAATTCTCTTTGTGCCCAGGAAATCTAAAGAGTATCTCAGACTCACATAAGCACAGGTCCCAGGTTAGGCACCTGTCTCAGACAGAGGTAGGCTCTGTGGAGAAAGAAGACAGGAGCTCTAGTCAGGCCGGAAGGGGGGCAATTGGGAAGGGACCCAAGGAGTTTTCTAAGCATGGAGCACAGCTGTAAACAAAGCGAAAGACATGTGGCCACAAGTTTGGCTTCAGGTTCCTATGCAGGGAGGCTGTGGCCATTCCCTACAATTACTCCAAGGAAGAGCAAACCTCGTGTTCCCAAAGCCCAGCAAGCTGGCATGGCATGGCTCTCAGCCTGAGTGGGAAGAACTCTCTGACCCTCTGGTAGGCTGCAGTGCAGAGCAGCAAGAATGCTTCCACTGCTGAGGACGCCCACTTGGCAGGGTTCTCCCTTGGTCTCTGCCACAAGCACCTGCCTTTCCCCTCCCTGTCCCTCTCCTTATGATGCGACACTCCCCTCCCATCCCACCCCGGCCCCACCCCCACCCCAGAGAGGAGCAGCAGCCCCCTTGGGGTCAGAGGTTCTCCCCCACAGTCTGGAGTACACCTTTGCTTTCTCTCGCCTGCTGCCCAGGACCCTCACTTTAGTGCAACAAACCATAATTCTGACAGCAGGGACCTTGAGGTCGAAGAGTCATGCCATAAGCCAGTCAGCATGGAGCCAAGGAAGAAGGTTCTTCTTCATGTAAACGCTGGGGCTCCATCAACTGTCCTGTTAACTCAAGGTCATTCTGGAAGGTCAATCAGGCCTTGTCATCCTGGAGCACTGGGGCATTTCTCTCTGTGGCTGCAGCACCCATATACCTCACTCCACAGCAGCACTTAGAGGTTCCGGCAGTCCCAGCTCCCAAACCTGGGGCAAGGGCACAGGTAAGGGGTAAAACAGGACAAATCTAGGATGCAGGGGCCTCGCCCAGCCTGATGGCCCCAAAGAAGGTAGTGTGCTTGCTCATATTGATAGAGATGTCTGCGTGCACCATCTTCACGGCGATCTTCTGCCGGGCTTTGAGGAGGCAAACACCCGCGGTGTAACAAGTGTTGTAGTTGGTCTTGCCCGTCTCGATGCTGCGGGTACACTGCAGGAAGGGCTTCTCATCCACCACCACCTCATAGCTGGCAAAGTCAGTGAAGTTGATGTAGTATACCTGGGTGAGAGGCAATGAGAACGGATTGGGGGAGAGAAGAAAGAGAGGGTGGGGCCCTCCCCTGTGATGAACAGTTAGAACCTTCGCAGATGAGCTGCCAGTACACCTTTGTGAGGGGGGCAGTGCCACCTGTAGGCGTGCTAGTTAGCCAACAGGAAAGGCAGAATGACAGGCTTATATGAGTCCTTCTCCCACTCCACAGGGCTCAGGTGGCTGAGCAAATCTTTCTTTCAACAGCACACCAGGTGTAAACCTTGTGAGGGCAAGAACCATGCCTTATTCATCCCTTTACCTCCCCCTAATCACCCTCCTCCCACGGGCCTCCTCGGCCCTGGCATGAAGCACGGTGCTTTGCACACATTAGGCGCTCAAGCAGTGCTACAGACAAAAATGAATACAAACTAACATCCAGTTTCAAGCCCCAAGGACTATTTGTGGATAAACTTAGAAGTCACTGATTCCCCAGAGAGGGCACAGTAACGACTTGCCATTTCTTCAGCTCTTTAATAGACAGCTGTTCACTCAGCTTGCAGTGCCCTCTCCCCTGCAGCTGAATTTCTCTCATTGATTTTCAGTGTCCCTTGGCCCTCCTGTCTGATGAATGAGGAAACAGATCCAGAGAGATGGAGAGCTATCCACCACAAATGAGATAAAGAATTTGCAAGGACAAAACCCAGGCCCCTAACTTTACTTTGTGGCCAGAAGGAAGTGCTAACCTATGTTTAATGGCCTGGTGTCAAGGAGATTTTCCCAGTTTGCACAGCGTCCAAGGCCTGAGGCCACTCCTAATTCTTTCCTGGGCCCAGAAAATCAATTTTTCTATCCTTCACTACGCTTATCCATCACACTCCATCCCAAGCTTTGATCCCCTTCACCAAATGGAGCTTTGGACAAATGGCCCATAGAACACTGGGATTACACCCATGTGCCCCCTGGGGATTGGGACCCTCATCTATTACCCTAAATCACTTTATGAAAGGTTGCTCCCTCCACAGGCTCTTCAGGAGGGAGCAGTGTAATCAGGTGCCATTTCTTGGGTCAGGACCAAAGCTGTGCCAGGATGCTCAGTGGCCTTAGCAAATGCTCGTTAACCCACCTTCTCTGGCCACTCTCCTGTGAAACCCTTCTGCTGGCTCCACAGTCCTTCTGTCCGTCTGCCTCCTTGCTGCCCACCCCACAGAAGCCCCAACCTCAAGCCTCATCTACTTCTAGCTCTGAAGAGCCACCCCAGTGGAGGCAAACAACAGGAGTGGAAGTGGATGGGCACTGGCAGACCTGAGGAGTGCGCCTGGGGCAGGACAAGGACAAAAACAGAGGGAGAAAAGGGCTGGGAGATTGGCAGCATGAAGAAGGCAAGAATGACAGAAAAACAGAAAGGTAGAGAAACAAATGGGAGAAAGAGGAAGGAAAGACAGTCAAAAACATTTTTGAGGTGGAGAGAAAGTCTGCAGGAGCACTGTTCACTATAAGAAGGCTAGTGGCGTGTGGAGAAGGGGTTCTCAGCAGCCCTGGAACTGACTTTCAAAGAACCTACTGAGACAGAGCTCAAGTTTGGCAGTAGAACCAAACAGCTCAGCAGGGAAACAAGGGCCTGGGGCCCTGCAGGAGGGAATCAGATGGCAGGGTGTGGGAGGGGCCTCTTTGCAGTTTTTCAATGATATCTGGCTAGGAGAAAAACCAAAACAGCCCCCCGTCTTTTTACTCCTTTCAACTCCCTCCCGGTGTGGTGCCCCCACCCCCATCACCCGCCAAAGCAGGAAGTTAGCCATTGGCTGGTCTTGGCTGGCTCCACAGTGCCCCTATGTGGCCTGCACCGTATCTGCATTCTGGATATAAGAAGAGTTAGGCCTAAGACCGTACTCACTTCTACCTGACTATAGATGAAGTAGGTGCCGTCCACCAGTACCTCCAGCTCCCCGCTGCGGGGATGTAGCTTAAACACCTTGGGGTTCATAGTGATGCGAGACCAGTCATTGAGCACTCCACCTGAAAGATCTCAGTATGAGAGAAGGGCAGTCACTCAGTACATGTCAGAATAATCTAGGCAATAGAAACAAGAAATATCACACAGTACACAACCCCCCATCCCTATCCCAATGCAACCTGGATATCCCAGGAGGCCAAGCTTTAAGAACAGCATTTGGAAGCAGAGAAAGTGTTCTGTTTGTAAAGTGGCTGCCAGGCCTGCCTCAGGCCCCTGGGGTCTGTCCGTCTGTCTTCCTCTCTCCTTTCCTGACCCCTCCATCTGGAAGAGTCTTTAAGCAACACCTTCTAGCTGGAATTGATGGGGGGACTAAGAAGAGAGTGGGCATACTGCCCTATTTTCTTTGTTGTTCTGGGGCCTGCACAGGCAAAATTCAGACACTGAGTGGCAGGCTAGGTCTTATTTTTCCATTTTATTTCAGCAGCTGTAGCTCCTGAATCTCTTCTGTCCTACAGGTTCATGAGTTTTCTCCTTCTCCTTAAGAGATTCCTTTTTATAGTTCCTCCACTCCCACTCCTTTCTGGAAAGCCTCGCTGGGCACCCAGGAAACCACTCAGCTCAAGGAACTGTCTACCTGGAGAACCTTAGGGATCAGCAGTGAGTCACACTTCATGGCAGCTGGAGCAAGTGACCAGTAATAAGGCCTCATAGGGGAGAGGGATCTTTATGAGAGTAACAGACTGCCAAGCAGCACTAGAACCAGCCAACAGGATGGTGAGGGTGTCTGGGAGCTGAGGCACCCCTGGCAAAACATCTGCCTCTCAGCTCCACCCCATTTGGGGCAGAAGGGCAGTCACATCACCTTGGCTGGACAGTGGGAGCCAGCATGTGAAGGCAGAGGAAAAGCTTCCCTTTCTATCTTGCAGAAAGAGGGATGTTCCTTCACACCAGGAGAGGAGGGAGTCCAAGCCCATGGAGCCTTTTCCCCTCAAAGCCGTCCATTCTTCACCCAAGAAATTACGTTTTGAATATCCATCCTTGGCTAGTCTTAGGAGGCCTGCCTCTCTGAGGTGTGAAGAAACCAGCCTTCTGGAAAAGATGGCCATCTTCCCTCAAGGTGATTAAGTAGATGGGATAGGAGTTAGGAGGAGATGCCCTGGCTCTGCCCCTGCAAAGGACCACTCTGCATGATGTCCTTCCACCTCTGACCCCCTCACTTCTGATTCTGGTGGAACTAAAGAGCAGCATAGACTACTACTAGGGACTGGCACAGAGGGGTTGGAGCCAGTCTCGTTATGTGGTAGTGAGAGCAAAATCAGCAGCTTTTGGCACAGAATAAACACTGAGGTCCCCCATCCCGACACCCAAACAAATCTATTTCCTGCTTGTGTCACTCCTCCCTGAATAGACGGTGACCATGGCCCACCCAGGGCCTTGGGGCCAAGGCACCTGGTCCCAGCAGGACTGCTTAGGTTTGGTACCATTCTGTTCCTACTTATATTTCTGAGGCTATTAAGTCAGGCATCCAGGTGGCAGGCCAGGATATCGCTAAGCCCAATCTTTAAGGAAGCTTAGCACAGCCAGTTTGAGACTGACTGGGCTCTTAGAAGCCGTCCCGATGTAGCAGGTTTCCTAACCTTCATTTATTGTTTCTGCACTCACAGCTCCTCCCTTCCACTCCAAGCCCTGTAAGAATCTGGCATCTTGGCTGGCTTGCGGCTTCCCAAGGCTCCTGGGGGTTCATGCATTTTAGGCTTTGTGCACCTTGGGGAATGGACATTATTCAAAGCACTGTTCTTTACTGAACGTTCATGTCTCCTTGGGGAAGAAAATGAACCTAATCATTCAGTGGAGTGTACATACACATCACTGAAGTAGCACAGTGCAGTGGAAAGAGTCAGACAGATCTAGCTTTGAATCCCAACTCCTACACTTAACTGAAATCTTGGGCCAGTTAACCTCTCTGAGCTTCAGTTTCTGTCTCTGTAAAAAGGAGCTAATACCTACCTCATAGGATTGTTGTGAGGATCAAATAAAATAAAAGACAAAGACAGTATGTTGAAAACTCTCAAGTACCATACAAATATAAGGCAGTATGATTTATTATGGTATTTTCCAATCTCTCTGGGACTCTGTTTCCCCATCTTTTAAATGTAGAGATCACATTAAATCAGTGTTTCTTAACCTCCTTAAACCCATTCCCCTTTTTATAGACACCAGTATCTCATAATCCCTGGAGAGTCTAACATGCCCCCCACCTCCCTGAGAGAAATGTCCCCTCCACCCATTTTCTGTGTAGACCCATCAGACAAGAAGAATTTAGTTTTATGTAGTTTTTACCTTCTCTAATTAGTACTGTGAAAATGTTGATCAAACTACACATATCCCCATGGTGACTCTGATACAACCTCCATCTCCCAAGAATCCCCGGTCTAGATGATGTCTCAAGTCCCTTTCAGCTTCCTCATCAGTGATCCTAAATGCAATTTGGGTAAAGCAACCTGTCTTAGTACAAGCAATTACCCAGGACAGCCAGCAGAGGGCAAAATGGAGTAGAGAATGGCTCCCTAGTGCCAAGGGTACCTCAGGGAGCTGGGAGGAACTAGGCTGGGTGATTATTTGAAGGCTGGGGGTAAGGAAGAGGAGAAGCTCCTCTAGGGAGAGAGCCTGCTTTGACTCTTACCATTCTTGACTTGAATTGCTGACCCTTGGCCCTGTAGATGCACCACAGCTGGCTGGGAGATGAAAAGGATAGAGAGAATAGTCACTGTGAGAAATGGCTGCTTGCTCAGCCACCAGTTTCCGTGTTTCCACCTCTGATTTCTAGTCTCCTTTCATATCCCAATTCTGATCCCTCTTCCCTGTCTTGGGATGCTAGTAACCACATTGCTACTAGAGGGTAATATGATTTTGTAGGTCTGCCACTTCCTAGCTATGTGACCTCAGCCAAATATAATCCCTCTGAGCCTCATTTCACTAACTGTAAAATGGGAATTTATAAGAATCTCTGTCTGGCCTCTGTCACAGGGATGTCTGAAGATCAAATGAGGTGATGGATATAAAATTGCCCTGGAAGCCATCAAGCACTGTGCAGCTGTGTAGATTTAGCACTTTGGCCAAAAAGCTGTAGTGCGGGAGGCTGAGATGAGACAAGGCAAGGCAGCAGAATCTGCCAATAGAGACAGATTAGGAAGCTCAAAGAATAGGGAGGAGCCCTTGAGGCCATTAAGGCAAAAGCCCAGACTGGGCTTGGCCTGGAGCTGGTTGGCTGATTTTCAAGGACATACTCTTAAACTTCTAAGCTCCTGATCCCAGGCAGTTTGAGTGCCCACAAGGTGTCTGGAGTGGATAGGGAGTCGGAGGCCTAGGTGAATAGGCCTGACTGGCAGCCCATTTCAGCTGACTGCTGAACTTGAATACAGTGACCCTCTGTCTCCTGTGGAATGGGGAAAAATGGCCATGGCAAGACTCAGTTCCCCTAGCTAAAGGTGGGCCCTGGGGCAAAGCTTTTCTATTCATAGAGATGGGAGGGGGCTGTGAGTGAAAAACCTCAGAACCTCCAAGGTATCCTCACAAAATAAAGCCCCAGCAAATTTAATAGGGAGCAAACTCAAAGGTGGCTCTAGCCTGTGTCCTTCCCTTCTCCCCAGGAAGAGAGCAATTTCCAGCCAACCTGGTTTTCTCGAGTTCCAGCTTTATCAACAGCACCTGCAAAATAGGACAGGACAGTCAGGGGGTGAGCTCTTTCGACTTCCCTTTCTCCTCACCTAGGCAGCCAGTGGCCATAAGCCTTGCTCCCTACAGCCAAGCCCTGGGATAGGAGAAGACATCCCTTCCTTCTCTTACTTGTCCCTGACCTGCATCCTCAGTGGGCCTAGCACCCAGCAGGGAGACTGGCCTCTTGCCAATGCTGGCCAAAGGCAAGTCCCACTGAGCACACATAGAGACAGAAGAAAGTGTATTCCTGTCACTGTGTGACCCTGAGATGATGCTGTTTGCTTCTTTAGCCTTTTGCTCCCTATTAATTTTCTTCAAAGAGCATATTGCCACTTGTAACTATCTTGCTTCTTCGATTGTCTCTCTCCTCCTCTAGGACATAAACTCCATGTGAACAGGGACCACTTATCAATATATCTCCTGCACTTAGAAAGTGCTCAATGAATATTTGTGGAAAGATTGGATGAAAAAAATCCCTAATTCTGTCTCTTGTGGCCACGGTAACGCTGATTAGCCTGGTTTGAACTATGAGTCAAAGAATCTGAGTCCTGCTACAGAATTATTGAACCCAGAGAAATCAGCTGTAAAGAGTCCATTACTTTAAAGCCCCAAGATACAGGAGGGGAGAAGGAGAAGGAAATAACAACTGACCTAAGCCCAGGCAGTCTGACTCCGGTCAACTCCAATTAGGCAGTTTTGGATCTGCATCTATACCTTCTGGATGCCCTTCTGGGCCCAAGGGGAAAGATGCAAAGAGATTATATGCTATGCGAATGGGCAATGTGGTGGGGTAAGGATATAATGCAAGAAGCACTTGATTCCTCAACGGAATGGTCTTGGTGCCTGGGTTTGCTTTTCCACAGCCTGAGTGACTTGTAAGTTTGCAACTCCTTGACAATCAGTAACTACTTGTCTACCTCTATTGTAAAGGCACTTCAGAGTTCATGCGATGAGACTGTTCTAGGACTTGTTGTTTTGTCCAGTCCCCAACATTCCTCCCTATAGCCTGTTTCCAATCAAACATCAGCATGTGGAACTAGATTCTGGGAATCTGAGCAGTCCAAATCCATCCCCCACAGGAACTCCAGTGAACCCTCAGAGCCTCTGTCTCTGGCTCACATGAGTTTACTGGCCCACTACAGGGAGGCCTAGAGTCAGGGAGGGCTTGTGATGGAAGAGTTGATACAGGTCAAGAACAAGTGGCCTGTCCTTGACAAGTTGGTATAAACAAGAAGTTAGGGCAGGGCAGGCCCTACTGGCTTGTTCAATTCCTAGCTCTACACCGAGCTAGAACTGCATTTCTTATTGCACACCAATGCCATCACCACCATTTAAAACTGCTCTCAAGATCACCCACTCTTGCTCTATTAAAGTACTTGTAAGGAGCTTAGTGGGGGTGGAGAGACAGAGGAACTCACCAGAAGGTCCCTGGAGGCCAGGGGGTCCTTGAGGACCAGGAGGACCTGGAGGGCCAGGTGGTCCCATAACAGTTGTTCCTGGAATTCCAGGAATCCCTGGAATCCCTGGGGGTCCCTGGGGTCCGGGAGGTCCTGGAGGTCCTGGGGGGCCATTGGGCCCAGGAGGGCCTGCCTTCTTTCCTGAAAGACAAGATTTGGTGTTACATTTGTAGGTATTGACTGAGAATGTACCGTCAAGAGTTCTACAGACTTCCAATGACACAAAGTCAGCCCTCTGGGAGTTCTTGCTGTTAAAGAGGTAGACATCTTTATCACACATGATAGACACACACACTCCCTTCCCCCCTTCATGAATAATCACTTACAGAGCTGGGTTTAAAGGTCTAGAAATAAATGGCCCTCAAGGAGCTCAGTCTAGTGGGGAAATAGACACAGTCACAGGATAGTAGAAGTGCCACATTAATGGTAGGGACAAAAAGCTGAAGAGGTCAGGGAAGGCGTCAAAAAGGAGGTTACATTTCAGCTGAGTCCAAAGGATCAGAATTACCAAGTAGCCAGACCTACGGGTCACTTTTTAGAATTGAGAATTGGGCTATTGTTGAAGAGTATAGCTTTCATGTTTACTACCAGGTTTGGTGGACTTGATGTGGATGAGAAGAGGAAGCTAGGAGAACAGCCTGACCTTAGGAATAACATCAGCTCCAGGAAGGTTTCCTATAGGAATCAGGATATACAGGAACCGGGGGTTGGGATGGAAGTGGTGCTAGTTAGAAATGAGGAACGGGAAGGAGTTTGGGAGTTGAGAGGTGGCGGGGCGTGTGGCGGGGTGGGGGAGAGGGGGAGAGAGAGAGAGAGAGAAACATAAGGAAAGAAGGGGAGGCAGAGAAAGAGCTGAGGAGGGGGCAGCAGGCAGGTTTTGCTTTCTCAGCTGACCTCTCTAAACCCTATTTTTAAAGATCCTTGGGAAAGCAAATTCTGCAAACTCCCTTGGTAACATGTTCCGATATTTATCACCCCTCACTGTTAGAAAGTTCTTCTGTATATTTAACTGAAATCCCTCCCGTGGCAGTTTAAGCTCTTAATCAATTCTTTGTGTAGATAGAGAAGAATAGCTACCATCATACACATAATAACCCTCATATGCTCAAAGACATTAAGTCACCTATCAACCTCCATTATTATAGGCTAAATAATCCAGCTTCCCAGAGTCTTTCCTCAGAGGCCATATTCTTGAATGTATTATTAATCAAGCCCACCAACTTTTCCCCTATTCCTCCTCACTGTCTTTTCAGAACAGTCTCGGCCTTCCCAGTCCATATTCCAGTCCTTCCAACATTCCTACCAGAATGTAGTTATGTTAACTGAGTCATAATTGTGGTCTTGAATCAAAACCTCCAGTCCTCCTGTTTACTTCCTCTGCTCTGTGCAGCCCGATTCAAGCACTACAGTTGGTCACAGGTGGGAGTCTTCTTCCCTTCATCACTTTCTTACAATTTTGTGGAAGTCCCAGGAATGGAAGCCTTTTACCAGACTCCATCACAGTGTCTTCACCTGTGGTATTTTCTTAGTTTTAAATATAAACCTCTTAAGTCTCACTTAAATACCTTCTTACTGACTCCAACTTCCTGCTCCTCAGACTCTTTGGCAGGAGAATCCTATCCTGATTCATCAGGTCCTTCTTTAAGAATAATGCCGTATGTTGAAGAAACCCAATCTCTATGGCAACACCACTCAAGAGGCCAGTTGACCTGTCTGACCACATCTGCGTTTGGAATGAAACAATGGGGTCATTGTGGGGCCCCTTCCCCAGGGAGGAAAGAAAGGAAGGTCCAGAGAGCCTTTTCTCAGCGAGAGTCCCCATAGCCTTAAAGAACTAGAGGCAGGAGATTTAGCATTTTCCCTGCACTTAGCAGCAAAAGATTAGATCTGCCCAGTTTCTAGATCTAGCTAATTTCAAGATGCTGAACAGGAAAGCCATCTCCCTTCAGATTTGGGCAGCCTCCAAGTCAGGCTTATTCAGTGCCCAAGTTTCAATTCCAGCTAGTGTAGTGGAAAGAACACGGAATCTGTAGTCAGGAGATAAGGCTGAAAGCCCCAGCTCTACCACGGACACACTTTGGGCAAATCCCTTCCTCTCCCTGAGCCTTAGTTTCTCCATCAGTGAAATGAGGAGCTTGGCCTCGATGATTTCTCTCTCTGTTTCCTCCCAAGACTGAGGTTCCATAAGGAGGGCTGCCTTACCCCTGGTAGTCAGGAAACTTCCCTAGCCTGGTTGTAAGGTTTGCTTCTCCCTCACTGTTCTCTGGGTGGTGTAGACACAGAGGACAGTGCATATTAGGTGGTCCTATGTCCCAGAATTTCTAGGCCTAACAGTGATTTTCGAGCTAGAGGGTGTTCTGGGGGTAGTACAAACTTCAGTGTCAAGACTATGAGTCTCCCGTGATTGCTAATATAATTTTGGAAGAATTACAGCCAGAAACTCCTCCAGTCAAAGAGAATAATGGTTGCAGTGTAAACAGAGAATGTTCACTTATGAAAATGTTAGAAGGCATTTGGGAAAAAGCTCCTGCTGTGATCTAGTTCTGCAGCTGGTCCTCTTTGCTCCTCTGCAACCAGGTTTAGGCAAATGTGCTTCTTGTACTTGCATACTTACTGAAAGTTGGAGAGGAGCATGTACCAAATAACCCCTGGACCAAGAGGATGACTAGAGGATTGAATTCTTTCTCTGGATTTCCTTCTTTAACAGAACACCTCATGATAAAAAGCCCAGAGACTTTTGTACTTAGAAAGTTACCCTGTTAGTCTTAGATGAAAGAATATATACATTCTTTTCAAAGCTAAATTTCATGAAAGGAGCATTTTCCTAACCTTTAGGCGAAGCCCAAATTGCTGAAAGAACAACTAAAAGCGAGTGAGCAAAAGTGAGTGAGAGAGAGAAAAAGTGTGTGTGCATGAGTGAATTAGTTGCGAGAGGGGGAAAATTCCATTAAAGGATGGAAATTAAATGAACGACTCAACTTACCTCTTTAGGCATGTGTCTTTTCACTGTGTCCAAGGAAATCTGTATTAAATGGCTTCTAAATTACTTTCAGCCAAAATAAATGTTTAGGACCTGTATGTATTCTCCTCCCAATAATGGCCCAATACAAGGTAGCAGTACCAGGCAGTGATCCGGGTACTGTCAATGCCCTGTCAGAGGCATTGGAATCTCTGAGTTGTAATTCCAGAGATTCTAGCCTAGACAATCACCTTCTATTGCCACTAGCAAGTGTGTTCTCTCAGTGCTTACCCATTGGATAACACTGCAACTGGGTGCTGCCCCCTACCACACACATGCTCTACACTCTGTTAAATCACTAGCCTACTTGCTGTTCTTCTAAACATGCCATGTTCTTTCATACCTCTGAAAGATTTGAGTATGCTGTTCCCTTTGCTAGAATGTCCTTCCCTCTATTTTTTTTATCACCCTTCAAAATCCAGGTCAAATGCTGTTTTCTCTGAGATGTGGTCCCTCACTTTTCCAGAGAGAACTACTTGCTCCTTCTCTGTGCTGCCACAGCACACTGTTCATGCTTCTATGATAGCATTTTTTACACTGTACTGTAATTATTTGTGTGTACTTCCACGATTCAAATTACACTGGGAGATTTTTGAGGGCAGAAATCATTTTTCTTTATCTCTATATCTCTATTCCTGACAAATATAAGATGCTTATTCACTGTCTAGTGAATGAGCAAGTGGAAAAAAATGAGTGTCTGTAATTAAAAAGTGCTCTCAAGTCTACCTATTAAGAAGGGAAGTTATCCCTGGGTTTGTGTTAGGAGCAGAGGGTGTCCATGTCCAAACCAGGTGAGCTTTCTAGGTTTCTTATAATTTGGTGTTAAAGGGATGTGGCAAGAGTTAAAAAGTACATGCTTAAAAAGTCAAATTTAGTTTCTTAAAAGACAGAATATCTTGGTGAATGCCCAGGCCCTACAGAGAAAGATTTCCTCACTGATTCCAGCTCTCTGGCTGTTTTCCAACTTTGTTCAGCTCAGGTCCTCAGGAGGCCAAGCCTTTCCTCAGCTTCTTTACAACAGGGACACAGATTTTCCATGTGATCCATGGCACCTCAAGCCACCAGAGTACCCTAGTGTTCAGAGAAGTGGTAGGTGGTGGCTGAAGCCCGTCTTTTTGGCCTAGTCTGGGGTTGATAATATACTCTATAAAGGTCCAGAAATCTTAACAGACAGAATCGTTTCACTTAAAGCATTTTAATGAAAAATCATTGATTTCACTCTATCTTCCTTCCAGGTCAGAACACAGAAATGAATAGATATTTAAAACTGGTTTTGTAGTTGGTTCTTTTAGTCCTAAGGAGTGGACCATATTGCCTAGTCTTGTCTTTTAGAACCTGTTCTGTCTTTGGGTTTTCCTCTTCATGTAAGCAAGCACTCGTACAAGCTCTTGGGCCAGTCCCATTACAAGTACAATGGAGACTTACTGACCCAACAATGCACAATGTACCGTTCAACTAGAAGCTTCTTTAAAAAGGCTGAAAGATCAGGCTATTACTCCAGCTTAGTTTTTCATTATAGAGAAAATGATATTGAAACCCCAAAGCAAGAAATACCTTCCCTGACTATCTGAGAAATAGGATAGGGATGGCTTTTAGGCCAAGAAATAGGGTACTGACATCTCTCAGGAGGTAGCATACCTAGTCCCTACAAGCTGTCTCAGGACCTCATTCATACCTGATTACTGATTTGATAAAGGAAGGGAAAAAAGGAGAAAGGAGAAGGACAGGGGAAAGAGTAAGGAAGAATGAAGGAAAGAGATGTAAACTGAGTTGTACAAAAGAGGGAGCAAGAAAGAAAAACCAAAATGACTTTCACATGTCGCTAGAGAAGCAATTCTATCTTTCATGGATCATCACTGAAAAACGATTTCTATTTCTTGTTCTTTGGAAGCTAAAATACTCAAGAAGATCACACGTAGTTGAATAAAATAATGGACAACCAGCATTGAAAGAATATAATATCAAAATCCTACTCCTTTGATTTTTTTTCTTCTAATTTTAGAAAAGACACAACATGACAGCAATTTTATAAAACCAAAAGCTTAACTTACCCTTTTTCTTATTTTTAACTGGACCTGTTAAAAAAAGAAAATGGCAAATTAAGTCACTGGAAATTAACAGAAAGTTCATTCTTCAAGACAGTCACAGGAGGGACCTTCAAGATACTGCAAATTTGAGGGAGCCCCACACCAAGGGTCAGGTTATTGGCAAGGTATCTCCTAACTATCCAACCTCTCTAGTCTGTTTCTGACTGTTGTAACAAGAAAGGTACAAGGAAGAGTCTTCCCTAGGAAGAAAAATCTTTCAGCCCCAGTCTGTGGAGTGAGGGAATGGGTGCTTCTCCATAGAGATGAAATGCCCAGAAACGCAGAACTCAACAACCTTAGGACGGCATTTCATTAATTCTGCGAGTCCTGAGATTGAAGAGTCATGCATTCAGGGGGGGAACTGACATGAAGTCTCATGTGTTGCAGCTGGAAGGAAAAAAGGGTCATTTTCACGGACGGAGCAGAGCAGTGGCAGTTTACTTTTTAGTCTCTTCCTTATTGTGATTTAGATTGCTAGTTATTAAAACAGTGCAACCATAATACATTCATCTAGGGGCCACATGCACTCCCCCTGTAATTTACCATAAGTCAACAAACACTTTAAAAGAAGTGTCAACAGTTTCATCGACAGTGAAATCACAAGCATTTTTGGGAATTATTTCTAAAGAAAACAATTCTAATCAGTTGAGGGCACTCAGAGAGCCCAAGACTTTTCTCATATAGTTAGGTGACAACCTCTCCCCAGACATACAGTTTAGGTATCTCCCAGACATGTTTTACCCTCCTGCGGACTCAATTCTCTTCATTCTGTAGGTAGATTTGATTTTCTTTAGATACAGGTATTTTAAATCTGTTCCAAACTCCCATGAAGACACTATTCGACAACATTAGACCACTGTTATTGCCCTCAGGAACCTACAAAAAGAATACCAAGCATTTGTATATTGTTTTATAGTTTATAATAGACCTATTTCCATCTATCATCTCATTTTATCCTTGCAACAAGCCTGGAATGATCTTTACCTATAAGAGCAGGCTCTATCAGAGGTTCTACCTGAGCAGGCTCAATCAGAAGTCAGCAAAGTCTCTAACCTGGAGGGCTGCCAGTGTGGCCATCAGAGCTTTCACAGGTCCCTTGAAAACCAGTGTCTGTGTAGACTTCCCTGACAAAGTAATTTAACATGCATCAGTAGATATTATTATATGCAGGGGATATTTTAGGTTGGGTTTAGCAAGCTACTGCACTCAAGGTCATGAATCTCCATTCTTTTATCCTTGTTTTTTCTCCTTTTCTCTCCTCCCAGTCCAAAGAAGTTTCTTTGCTGCTTATCCTTTAGTTTTTTAACAGCATTGAGAGTTCTTGAGAATGTGCATGGAGGTTCTGGCAAGGAAGCACAGCTATGCAGATATGACTGACTAAGAGGCAGCAACTCAACCCGACAAGGGCGACCTCCTTGAACAAGAAAGTTATCTGGGGAAGGGTTTACACAGAAAGGCCCAACCTCATCAGCCAGCTACCATCCAGCCAGTCAGGCACTTCAGCCTGGGAGAGCAGTGGGACGACAGCCATTACAGCCACATTGCCCTCATAGACAAGTTGTGCTAGCCCTGGCCAAGTTTCTGACCATTTCATCTGGTTAAAGGGTTAGCACTGTTACATCAGACTTCAAAGCAGGCTTTGAGGAAATCAGACCATCACCAAGAAACCAGTCCTTACTGAGCATGCCTATGGAAGGTAGCACAGTAAATAATGAAACACAACTCTATCCTCAAGGAACTTACAGTTGGATAGGAAAATACAAAAGAGGGGAGACTTAAGGAATTATACTGACTAGTTGAGAAAAAAAAAAAAAACTTCCTAGAGGAAGTTTGACCTAAATCCACAAGTGAAAAGAGGGAAAGGGAAATTTAAACATTTTTCTTAACTTCTATTATTATTATTATTATTGCTGAGGAAGATTTGCCCTGAGCTAACATCTGTGCCAGTCTTCCTCTATTTTGTATGTGGGCTGCTGCCACAGCACGGCTGACGAGTGGTGTAGGTCTGCACCTGGGATCCGAACCTGTGAACCCAGGCTGCCAAAGTGGATGAGCTGAACCTAACCACTATGCCATAGGGCCAGCCCCCCAACTTCTATTATTTTTATACAGGAAATACCTATTAATTATACATATGTAAATGCATGCATATATACATACATAAAAAAGGGGAGCAAAAAGGAAAAAATAGCTTATTAGATTACCCATAATTAGCCACTATTAACATTTTTATGCATATCGAGAAATTATCTATGCATATAAATATGTACTTCTAAAAAATGGGATCAAATAAAAGTGTTTGATAACTTTTTCTGTCAATAACTACATTTCTACATTGTCATTTTTAATATGGATACAGTAGCATTGTATAGGTAACTCTTTATATTTTTTATAGTACTTTTATGATTTCATTTTTTTAAATATTTAAATCTTTAACTAATCTGGTATGGATTTTGGGATACAGTGTGAGGTAAGGATCTAACTCAAATTTTTATTTTTCAAAATGACCATGACGTGAAGAGTGCTGAGAGCAACAGGGGCTCAAAGCCAGTTCTTTCTTCCACTCCTTCCTGTGTCACAGAAAAGCTCTCAGAGAGCATATACTCAGTGGACAAATGAGGCTAAAAAAGTATGGGCAAGATTGTCATTAGATGGTATCACATTTCCCACAAATGTTAACAAGTACATCATCTCAGCAGTATAGGAGTTCCTTCTTGTTCTAATATAGATCACCACGGCCAGTAAATAATTCTTATGAGTTTCAACATGGACCTCTAAGCCCTGGCTCTATATCTGCCACACCCATTTCTTTTGCTTGAGGCCATTGTAGTTTTCCAGCTTCTAGAGAGAGAATGCCAGGGAGCTAGAACTATCCCATACTAGATATGAGCATCTTGACCCAGAGCAAAAACAGTAACCTCTGCTGAGTTCTATAACCTTTTAGACATATTGAATTATTTTCTCTATTATGCTTCAAAACCTTTTTCACACCTACTCAGAGCACTACCACTGTCACATGTCTGTTTCTATGGTAACAGGCTACATTTCTACATCATTCTAATTCCCTCTATTTGTAATCATCATGCTTTCTGAAGGCAAAACCACAAATGTATCAGAATGGGACAGACAGCTGTGTAATCCCTGGGACTGCTTTGATAGGAGTAAAATTGAGATCTGACAGGTTTTGCTCAATGTGGGCAGGCAATTTGCTGTCTGTCATTAAGAAATGGGGGTCTTGTCACAGCATCAGGGCCATGGAAGCCAGCAGCAGTCCTAGCCAGATTCTGGTCCTGACTCAACCACAAACTGACCACAGGGCAAGTGAACCTTTTCTTATGATTCTTCGTCTTCTAAATTAGGGAACACTATATATTTTGTCTCTATTCATGGGTTTGGGTTCTGATGAAGATAAATGACATAACTAAAGCTAACATTTATTAAATATATATGAGCCATGCACTGTGTTAGTTGCTATAAATATCTCATTTAGGTCTTATAATAATCCAGCAAAATAGATAATATTATGCTTATTTTATTTATTTATGTATGTATGTATGTATGTGAGGAAGATCAGCCCTGAGGTATGTACGTATGTATGTGAGGAAGATCAGCCCTGAGCTAACATCCGTGCTAATCCTCCTCTTTTTGCTGAGGAAGACCGGCTCTGAGCTAACATCTATTGCCAATCCTCCTCCTTTTGTTTCCCCCAAAGCCCCAGTAGATAGTTGCATGTCATAGTTGCACATCCTTCTAGTTGCTGTATGTGGGACGCGGCCTCAGCATGGCCGGAGAAGCGGTGCGTCGGTGTGCGCCCAGGATCTGAACCCGGGCCGCCAGTAGCGGAGCGCGCTCACTTAACCGCTAAGCCATGGGGCCGGCCCATATGCTTATTTTAAAGATGAAGAGATGGATTAAATAAATTGTACAAGGTCACATAGCTCATAGGTATTTTAACATAAGCTGAAACTTCAGAAAGATTCATTTATTCTAGATATGTTTTGAATACTTAAAAATAAATTTATATACTTCCAGTTTCTGGTTTGACATGTCAAGAGCTTGGAAGTTGTCACTCCCATACTCACAACAAGAAAAAAGTTGAACAAACTTAAATCAACTCTTCTTAGATCCATCAGAGAATTGAGGTCACAATGCAAACCGCTGGTTTGAAAGATGGAGAGACAGACGGGTAGATACAGAGAATCATAGCATACCAGGAGTAGAAGCCTGCAGCTGAAGCCAGTATCAGTAAGAACACTTTAAAACTGTAATTGACAGACTGCAAGAGGCTCAGTGTGAACTAATTTAAGACCTAAAAACTCCAAGGGGGGCCAGTCTTGAGGGGCCCCCAGGCTTTCATGACTTTTACCTTTAAGAGCTCTACCAGGTTCTCACTGTGAAGACTGGAGAAAGATTCTCTTGTGCTTCCAGCAAGGGGAGAGGAAAATAAATAAAATCAGAAATGAAGGAGGAGAAGTTACAACTGATACCTCAGAAATACAAAGGATCATAAGAGACTACTATGAACAATTGTATGTCAACAAATTGGACAAATTAGAAGAAATGGATAAGTTTCTAGAAACATACAACCTACCAAGATTGAATCAAGATGAAATAGAAAATCTGAACAGATTGATTACTAGTAAGGATATTGAATCAATAATCAAAAACCTCACAACAAACAAAAGTCTCAGCAAAGAAATAGAGAAAGAAAATTAGAGAAAAAGAAAAAGAGATAAAAGTGTCAGAATAGAAATGGAAGATATAAAGAAGAACCAAATGGAAATTTAAGAACTAAAATACAATAACCAAAATAAAAAACTCAATGGATAGGCTCAACAGCAGAATGGCAGGGATAGAAGAAAAAAAACCGTGAACTTGAAGACAGAACAATAAAAATTACTCCATCTGAACAACAGAGAGAAAATAGACTAAAAACAAAAATGAATCAAGAAAATGAGAAGACAAGCCACAGATTGGCAGAAAATATT